TTTTTTTCTTTACGGAATCACAGCCTAAAGCCAGCCGAGATATTCGTGGGGTCAGTATTCTGGGAATGACTTGCAATTAAGGTGCTTGGAAAAGATTTTAGAGGCAATATCAGCTGAAGCATTAAAACTGGCTAAGTAATTAAATAAATATAGAAATAGACAAGCCGGTGGGAGGGGATTTGTTGAGTGGAAGCGAATGCTCTGTGCTTGAACCATATAAAAGAAAGGATTCTTTTTGTTGTTGTTGTTGGTTTGCAGCTGTAAAGATGGGGAGTTCAGGAGGTACCAGGGTGCAAGAACCAAAACCGACTTCATTAATTTCATCAACGACCAGGAGTGGAAATCTATCGAACCAGTGTCCTCGTGGTTTGGCCCTTCCTCTTTCCTGTGAGTTTGGGGTTGGTTTCTGTCACAGTTTGTTGCCAGGAGTGCTGGGATGGGTCCTGAGGTGTGTCACAGCTCCGTGCTGGAATGTGAACCTGGTGGGTGGGTGTCCCGCCTCTTCCTCACCTGTGGGAGGGTTGGCACCACAACAGAGGTGACCTGAGCGTTTTCACCGTGGCAGAGATGCCTTGAGTGTTGTTATCATGGCGGAGGTGACCTGATTGTTGTCATCAGAGCAGAGGTGTCCCCAGCATTGTCGTCATGGCAGAGGTGACCTGAACACTGTCATCAGAGCAGAGGTGACCTGATTGTTGCCATTATAGCAGAGATGTCACCGTGGCAGAGGTGACCTGATCATTGTCATCATAGCAGAGGTGTCCCCAGCATTGTCACCATAGCAGAGGTGACCTGATTGTTGTCATTGTAACAGAGGTGTTCCCAGCATTGTCACCATGGCAGAGGTGACCTGAATGGTGTCATCAGAGCAGAGGTCACCTGAACACGGTCATCATAGCAGAGATGTTGCCAGCGTTGTCACCATGGCAGAGGTGACCCGAATGTTGTCACCATGGCAGAGATGTTTCAAGTTTTGGGGCTTTGAGGGGCTTTTTAGTTGTTGCGGCCCGTGCTGTGTGGTGGGGTCAGAGTGGCTGAGACACTGAGTGACAAAGCAGGTTGGGGACACCGCTGCTTGAGGCAAATGAACCCAGTTGTTCCCGGTTTTTCCTCTGTTCATGTTAATTTTTTTGAAGTGTTGGAAAATTTACATCTTCTAGGAAGCTCAGCATTGTGCACTCACAGTGCTGTTTGAGTCTTCAAACTGTGTGGTTTGTTCTCCCACAAACTACTATCCCACACCAAGGAATGTGTGAAACGGGGTGTTAATTTAGGATTAATAAGTTTTCTGTTATTTTTTATGTTCAGACACTAAACTTAAGTGTCTGAAGATCTCTCAGTTCTTCTATAACCTGATTTTTTTTTTCTTAACAGCTTAATTTATTTTTCAGAAGGGAAACCAGCCAGGAGCATGAAGTTCAGTGTGGGAATGAGTTGGGGAAATCAGAATACACAGGTTTGGGACTGACTTGAAGATGTTTTCAGTTTCTTTTCTCTGCTTTGTTGCAGGATGAGCAGCATGTCAGCTCTGTTCCAGCTGTCCATGTGGATCAGGGTATGTGCTTACATCTCCACCTCATTCTATCTTAACAGATGTGACATTCAGCTCTCCTTGGAACGATTCTCTTGTCTTTTATTCCGTAGCATGGCCATGGTTATTTAACAGAAAATCTTGGAATACCGGTCTGGGGCTCCTATGCTATTTTTGGGTTGGCAACTCTGTTCTCAGGACTGATACTGGGACTGGTAAGTGAAGCATTTGGGACAGATTGTGAGCACTGTGTGTTACACTCGTGCTGCCTTCACCTCAGGGGTTGACAGCTCTTTTTTTGGGATACACTGAGCTGGAACACAGGGATGGGGGAGCAGGATGAAGCCCCCACAATCTAAGGGGACACACACAGGGGTGGGGCTGGGTGGGATCCACCCCAGGGTAGCATTAAGTAAATTGTTGGATTTGATCTTAAAAGTCTCTTTTTTTTTTTCCGACCCAAACGATTCCACGCGTTTGGAGGCTTCAGCTTTGATTCCTTTGGTTTCAGATGATGGTGTTCCTGGCTGACTGTATCTGCCCCTCCAAAAGGCACAGAGCAGCACAGTACCCTCAGCCAAGTAAGCCTCCCCTGTAAACTTTTAATTCAGTTTGGTAAATCTATTAAAAAGAACTTTTAATAGTGCAGGGCCCCGAGACTGAGTGTGGGGCCTCGGGGTTATGGTGGGTTTGCATTTAGCTGAACTCTTAAACAACTCTTTTTTTATTTTTTTGGGGGGGAGGTAGAAAAATGCTTTCAGAGCGTTTTTTTCCCACCTGCAAGACGTGGCGTTCCACCTGGGCAGGGAGGGAAAAGTTCGGAGCGGAAAAAATCAGCACTAAAAAATCAGAATGGCATTTTTATTTGTGTGTGTGTGTGTGTGTGTGTTTCCCTTTCTCCTTAAGGAAAGCTGTCTCCAGAGGCGGGTGAGCTGCTGAAAAAGCTGGATGAGGGGCAAGAAGCAGACGAGGAAGACAACTCAGACGATGAAACGGAGGGTAAGGAGGTGCCCAACAGAGACTCGTCCCCGAGGGCCGTGAGGCAGCGCCTGGCGAAAGCGGCCGCTCCGCTGGATCAATCGTAGCTGGATTTGGGAGCAGGATTAGTGTTTGAGTCATCAGCTCAAAGGGAGATAAACGTCAAATCCTTCAGCTTGGAAGAGAAAAATGACTCCTGTCTTGGTAATGTTGGATGCGCTTCATGAAGTCAGGAAAAAAAAAAAAAAAAGAAAAAAAAAATAGAGGCATCTTTGGCGTCAGGTATTTAAAACTTGCTGTTGCAAACGGCTGGAACTTCTCCTGCCTGTGTGCAAGAAATCATTGGTGTGGCTCCTGGAATGACTTGTTTTCCAGGGATTATTTTCACCAGAATGTAAACCGGTGGACTTGTTGCACGAGGGGAACATTAGCAAGGAAAATGCACTAACCTGTTGGCTGTCAAGGTGTTCCAAAAAGGGTTCTCAGTCTAAATCCTACCTAGTTGTGCTCCGAAGAAATGCTGAGGGGGGAAAGGTTCCTTCACTTGTGGGCTTTTTATGTGACCAAAACTGCTTTTTGCTACGACAATGAGAGCTACAACCTCCCCCCCACCCCAGGTTTTTGTCTTACAGGAGATGGTGGCACAAGCACTCTGCAGCAGGATTCTCTGGCTGACCAGAAACCTGCTATTGGCACCATTTTTTCCTTTTAGAAAAGGCTGTAGAAAACCAGGTGAGCTTCTTGGCAAAGGAGTTCTCTTGAAAAAGACAAAAAAGAAAAAAAAAAAATTACAAATAATAGCACCATGAAATCTTGTTTGTGACTCCAGGTGGGAATAGTTTACATGCAGGGTCCTCTGTGCAAATGCTCTCCACTCTGCCTGCTGGATGGCAGTAGGACTCTGGCTCCTTTTTAAATACATCATCAGTGATTTCTACTTCATCAGATTTTACTGCAAAATCCAGGCAGGCTGTACCTGGCCTGAAGTTGAAATAACAGCTTCCTAATTTCTTCTACAAAACCTTTTTTTTTTTCCCTTCCTGTTTTCACAAAACCATTCTTTTTTTTTTTTTGGAACAATATACTTCTATTTTTTCCTCTTAAAAAACAAACAAACAAACAAACTAGTTTACTGTTTTCTGTATGGTGTTTGTTTTCACTCTGTGTAGAAATAAAAAGAATGCACGTGCCCATTGGACCAGTGTTATCTTGGAAAGGATTTTCCGTATTCTTTTCATTTCCCAAGTATTTGCAAGGGAAAGGGCTACCCTAAAACTGAGCACATTTAGATTTTGTCCCTTTTTTTTTGGACAAGCCTGTTCTTGCTGGTTTGTTTTTTGTTTGTTTGGGGGTGTTTTTGTGTAGTTACTTGGTGTGTGTTTTTTTTTTTTTAAATTGTTCATCTGAGTGGGTTTGCAGGACTGGCAGTTGATAAATCTGTGTCAACAGTAAACTTGGGTTTCAGCATTAACACAGCAAACGTAGAAATGCTATGAAATGATGGAAATGGTATTTTCCCTGCAGCTCTAAATCCCTAGGGAGTGTTAAGAAGGCAGACAAGAAGCTTGTGATTAACCAGGAATATTGGGAAATCCAATATTTGGAGCTCCAGCAGGTGAATCAGCTCAGGAAGCTGTTATGAACACTCCTCTGTAAGGTGCATTTTAAGTGTGTGTGATAAAACGTAACTCATGGAAAAAAACCACCCTGATTTAGTTATCCAAATATCTCAGTGAATCTTCCAAGTTGAAATGAATAAGAATGAGTTGTTATGTTTTGAATCTTTGACTTTTTTTCCCCTGTTGTTCTTTCCCCCTTTCCTGAACGTTGGTGCTCTGGAATGACTTGACTTCAGCTCAGTGTGTTTGGAAGGTGGAACTGATGTTTGAAAGGGTCCTTTGGGTTAAAATCTGAGTGTTCCTGTCTTTTTTTTTTTTTTTATTTTTTTTTTTTTTTTTAAATTTTTAAGATAAAACTTCTCCTGGTGTTGGAACGAAGAGCACTGTGTGCCAGAAATGCCTTCAAGGTGTTGGGCTGGTGGGGTTGCCTTAAATTCTCTGGAAGTTTCCATTTTAGCCTCTGTAAGCAAAGCAATAAATCCACACTATCCTAAGGAGAACCAGTAGCACTGTCTTTGGTATATGGTGTTTTTTTTTTTTTTATTTTATTTTTTTAGTTTGGAGAGGGCTTGGGAAGGCAGGACACAAAAATGCTGGAGCTGCTTTTAAGGAATTGAGCTGAAAGCTGAACTAGATGTGCTCGCTATATAAATATATTTAAATGTAGCTTTTATAGGGGCAGGGTTTTCTGATTTGTGATTTTCAGTCACAGTGAAACTTTGTTGACTGTGCAGAGCTGATAGCTGGGGGTTGGAAAAGAACAACCAGCCTTTTCTTTGCCACGCTGCACTTGCAGACTCCTGGTTGAACCAGA